ATTCGTTTTATTTTCATCGATTTTGAAAACATCGATCCATTTTTAAACATCGCCCATCCCTACCCTCAAGTAAGGGATCAGACAACAGCGTGAAAGATGCAGATTGGCTGCCGCCATTAGTGGGATACTTCCGTTGGTTAGGTTAGGGTCTGCGCACAATGGAGGAACAGATATTAGATGTTAAAATATTAACCTATCCAGATACCAGTTACACCGAAATACACGATTCTGATAGGTTAATATTTTAATATCTAATATCTGTTCCTCCATTGTGCGCAGACTCTTAGTATGCTTTCCTTTTAGAGGACACACTCGACACAAACGTCGTTCTATCCTTCTTGACATTCAACGAATGATAAAGATAGAATGATGTTTGTGTCGAGTGTGTCTTTTAAAAGGAAAGCATACTTAGTAATTGCTGATTTAGTTGCTCAGTACTGTTTGTTTAAGATGTAGATATATTATACGTATGTATGTACGGTTCGATTATACAGTTTATATATTTTTTAAATCATTGAAAAATGCGATACTGTGAAGTTTTAAATTGCAAAAATTTAAGTAGAAATGGCATTATAATGCGCCATTTCCCGAAATCTCCCACAAGAAGAGAAAAATGGATAATCTATCATGCCTCTGGTCGTATCGGTTGGATACCTAAAAAGTATTCTGCATTATGTAAATAGATACAATATTATATAACTATCATTATATATGTATATAATGACAGAATTATGATATTTATATTAACGTAAAGACAGGGAGCAGTTCACAAAGTTATTAACTATGTTCCATTCCACGTATAATGCGCAGGATTTATCCTTTTATTCTAATTTGTTTAATACAGGTCTTAATAACAATGCATTTGAATACTCCCGCGCATTAACTAATGTACACCCACGGTAATTAATTCTGTCCCTCGGAAATTTTCACAAAATGAAAAGTGACCTCCTTTCTATAATAATTGTCACTATTCATGCATGATAAGATTCAGTCGTAACCATGAAGGAAGATATAAGGAGACTCCACTCGGTCTCGCCAGTCTACAAGACATGAACCCATTTTAGGTTTCGAGTTCCGTTTCCGATTCTCGACACTCGCAGCGCTCGTGAATTTAGTAGTGCTGCGCATAATGAGTGCGAGTAAGAGAAATGATCATTTCTCTTACTCGCACTCATCAGAATCGGAAGCTGAACTCGAAACCTAAAATGGGTCCACTTTTATTTTACGGAGTAGAGTCTCCTTATATCTTACTTCCTGGTCGTAACGTTAATCGTGCATGGATTGTGACAATTAATATAGAAAGGTGGTCATTTTTTATTTTGTGAAAATTTCCGAGGGACAGAATTAATTACCGTGGGTGTACTTCCGGTATCCCTCTAATGACGATGTTGTATGATCCCTTACTTGAGGGTCCCTAGCTCCTTTAGCTTTAAAGCGACATCTTTGGACATTTCTTTCTCAGAGGCGCTTCTAATTGGACAAAATAGCAATAGAGGATTCTCTATTGAACGCAAACTATATTCGTTATTTTCTCAGGCTTGTTTACGATTTGTGATGATTGTGGAGAGATTTTTACGCACTTTTACAGGATTGCTAAAATCATAAGAAAAATAAAAGGATTTATTTATGTACTAGTCCGTACGATTGTTAAGTGATTCATTGCAGAAAGATTTTTCTTAATCTATAAAATGATAAAGTCTGAAATAAATAATGAGGTAAGATGTACTCTATTATCGAAAAAACGAGATGGACATTTTCTCTGGTCGACGACGTTAATGACGACGACGACGACGACGACCGACGACGTATCTTAAAATTGAAACGTGAAAATTCACAGATTCGGACTTTGCGTCGCGATATCTCCGCTCGTAGGGCACGTAGAAAAAAAATGAAAGCACTTTTATCATACAATTTAAGTATTTCCTGTCGATTGAGCGTATGTAGAACTTGATCGGTTCAGCCGTTACTGAGATCTGATCATCTCGACCCCGAAAAATTCTCAGTTTCGCAAAGGAGGCACGGCAGTGTCGCGCGCTTGGCTTAGCGCCGAGACACTACCGTGTCTCCAGATATTAGAATGAAACATGTGTCATCCGTTTACATTTATTTTTGCTAAGAAGATACGGGATTTATATCATTGATCTTTACAATATTTTCAGTTCATCCTTCTGCGACACGCAGTTCGTCAAGCACGAGTTTGCATAGTTAATAAGCTTATCAAGGAAGCTAAACTCTTACGGGATAGACATGGAAACGAAGCACAAAAGGAGAAGTGTAGAAAGAAAGCCGACAAGCTGATTGACGAGGTTTATACACTAAAGACAATTAAAGATGACGATATTTCAAAATTTGGTCTCTGTGATGAGAGAAATCTGACTAAAATTTTACAAGATCAGTCATCAAATAGCAGCGTTCGCATAATGGCAAGGGTGGCGAATTATAAAACTCTAAATAAAAGACTAACACAGTTTAAGGAGAGATTCCCAGACTATAAACATTCGACAGAGAAGAAGACGACAAAATTAAAAGACAAGGCTGCTGTGAGAACTAAGAAAGCTAAAGAGAATAATTCTCAGAAAAAGAGTTCAAAGAAACAAAAAGTTGTTGAAAACAGCATTGAACAACTGCAATATAACTCCGAAGATGAGGAAACGTGTAAGAAGGAATTATCTGAAGTAAGGAATAACTCGCAAAAGCGCAAAAATACAGACGAAGATTGTATATCCTCGAAAAAATTGCTAAAACTTGAGAAAGATGGTACATCAGAAACTACATCAGTCACAGATAAACGATCAAATGTAATTAAATCATTAAGCGTTACGAAAGAAGCCATGGTGAAGAGGTTTACTGAGCTGTTGGAGGAGCAAGAAATTAATCAAGACGCACAAATGTCTGCCGAAAGTCAAGATTCTGCAGATACCGCGATCGAACAAGTAAAAACGGTTGATGACTTCTTCATGACAGTGGATGGTGAAAACTATCAAGGGAGCAGCGCCTCAACATCGTACACAAAATGTCACAGACATAGTACGCAAGCCAAACCTTTCCAATTGAATGATCAAGTTAAAAAGCAAAATGCAAGTCGCAAAAATAACGCAAATTTAAATAAAAGATCTTTGGACAAACAATCCTTTTCTATAAAATCCAAGAAAATTACTCCCAATAAAATTAATAACACGATTAATAATAGAGCAAATAAAAGTAACACAAATAAAAATACGATTGTTAATAAAAAGGATGACAGTACCGATTTACATCCTTCCTGGATGGCTAAGAGAAAAGAGCAGGAAATCATGAGTGCAGGATTTCAAGGCAAAAAGATTGTATTTACGGATGATTAGGCGAAATAGTTTACTGTATGGGACAGAGTTTACTTAATCAAGAATTTTTTGTAAAATGCTTTTTAAACTTGTGATACATTTGTCATATTATTTTAACAAAAATGTATACATATGTACATTTATCTTCAAGTGTAATACATTTATTTTATGTAAATAGCGTCATATATGTTGTGTCTTCTTTTCTAAATAATTTATATATTTTTGTTCAATAAAATGCAATTAAATCATACATTTTATTTGTACGTAACATGGTCTTCTGTATACAAAACATGTCGTAAATATGTAGTTGTAACAACATATTTGAAAATGACGTTAAAAAATAAAAACAAAACCACTTAAAATGATCAGGTAAACAAAACGTTCAATTTAGAGTTTATCTAATTCAAATTAAATTCAAATTAACAAAATTAAATACTGATCAGTCAATGAATATTCAATTTTGTTTCATAACATAACGTAGAAAGGAACAAATGTTCTCGTTTATACATATATTTGCATTGATTTCATAAATTTAGTGGACGTAAGATTATTGAGTTTCTACGACAAGGATGAAACTTTGAGTATATGCGATTTTTAAAGGCTTCACATTAATGAGAATCGTCGCATCACTTGTTTTTAGAAAGAGTGCGTTGTTTTTCAGCATGCGTAACTAATTGGGAATCCACAGGAAGGCCTTTTCTTCGACGAACTGCATCCATGTAGCATTTAGCTCGGTTATCGCTGTCTGCCTTTTCACCAAAATGGAGATATTCTTCCTCCGTGGATGGCACCCAATAAGGATCCTGTTCTATTACCTATAATGCAGGAATGTTACATTATGTTCAAAAGAGTGCGTTTGAGGAATTAAAATATTGTATAAAAGAACAGAAGTCTTCGAAATTGTCATGGATTGTTTAGTCGTATATCTTTAGATCTTTTATTGAAGAAAAAAATTTATGTATTCGGAATTTTATATAATGACTGTTATCCAATTTTCAACTTATGACATTAGTAATTTATAAACTGTGGACACCCCTAACACTCAGGTTTAAAAGATATTGTTAATTTTTTATATTATTTTATCCTTTTATTCTTCGTGATTTAATTTATGTAACACTCAATCTTCCGTTGAATTATAAATTTTAACATTGAGAATATGACGGGATCGGAGTCGAAACGTTTACATATCTAATGTACATAGATTATGTATATCTAACATAGATTATTAAACATCAAAAAAAATAATTTCAAAAATTAGAAGAGCATAAAACCACACACAAGATCTAGTTCGTGAGACTTTTAGAGTCAATAATTTATTGTCAAAGACACAATTAAACGTTTCGGTCCTACAAGAGTGACCATCCTCAGTACACTATTAAAAAATTACAACATAAATATAAACGCTCAATCAAATTATAATTCGCTTACATCAAAGACATTGCGCAATAGAATATATTATTTTCCCCTTGACATCATCCTCCAATAGTCCATACTTCGTATATGTTTTCTTATAACGTGTTACTCTTAGGTTAATGCAAAATATTTTTATTGATTATTAAAGATAAAATAAAAAACACATTCAAGACGTTGCTCAGAGTTTTAATCATTATTTTGCAATTTCTAAGAATGTCTCAAAGTTTATGAACACTTTAATTCACAAGAAAACGCGCTTACCTCCCAATGACTAAAAACTAGTTGCGGACTAGCCAATCCGGACGTTTGCGTCCGTAGTTCTCTTGCGAGATGGAAGCTCTCTAGAACCGGTAGAGTGGCCAATACTCTGAATTGTCCACCGAAGCCGTAAGCACTTTCCGTAGATACGATACGGCCTTGTCTTTTACCGAACACAGCATACAATCTCCCTGTAACAAGAACAGTCATCATCAATTGTTGATGTCTCAACGTGAACGGTAATATCGCGATGCAGAGACAATCTTCTCTGTATTACTCTAGTCTAGCATTTCTTCGCGACATTCCTCTTACGGTACCCTTGCACTTTTAATAATAATAAATATTTTCGAAATTATATTCCTTGCGCAACAGTACTCTACAAAGTGTTTTCATACGATTTCATCTTACAAATATAAAGACAATCGCAAATACTTGGATACGAGAATCAGACTTTTAAGTGATTTGATGTGATGAAGATTAATGTTTGAAGTAGCTTTTGTGTATAGGTATTGTTCTAGTTAACATCTTATCGTGTATTATATAAACAAATATCGCAAATATCGTATCAAAAAAAAAGGTACGAGATATAAAGCACTTGCAAGGATAAATTTCGAGAAATCAGCTAAAAAATGTAGCTAATTTTTTAAAATAAAGATAAAGAATAATCACACAGAAATGTCCCGATTAATTTGAAAAGATAAAACATACTAAACTAGAAGAAGAAAGCCATTTTACGGTCGAAGCTGGATCACAGTGCTTATTATAATTGTGTGAATTTTATATACTGCTTATGTAGTCCCCCCATAAATCGCGATGCTGATAGTTTTTCAGCATTGACGCATACATATTTACTACCGCAGTAATACCACTTAGTTAAATTGACAAGCAATCTAACAATTTTTGATGCTTATAGCATCTTATTGGATATTAATAATATGTTGAAAGACATATATTAAATTTTAATGATGTAATGTTGAAGTAAAGATAAATCTATCTGTGAAAAATAAGATTGCGAAGAATATCACAAGTTGGCGTTTCGTCCCGGCTTCCACTACTGGACTCATCAGTAAGGTAATGTAATGGGAGCCTACCTTAGACGCCTATTTAAGTTATTAAATCGAGATTCTATATATACAGATATACGCGTATCTCAGCACTTGCGAGAATTTTATGGGGGACTACATATGCAGTATATAAAATTCACACAATTATAATAAGCACTGTGATCCAGCTTCGACCGTAAAATGGCTTTCTTCTTCTAGTTTATTATTGTTTATCAATTGTACGGTCTCAAAAATATTTCAGTATTTGATAAAACATACTATCTGATGATAAAAAGAAGATAAAACTGTATCTCTATAGTAAATCTAGAGGAAGAAAAAGAAAAGAAAAAAAGGAGAAAGAAGAAACCAAATAAGACAACACAGCAGTCTAAGCTGGATTACGGGTGCTTCTAAATAATTGCGTGTGAACTTATATACTACGTATGTAATTCTTCATTCACAGAAAGAAGAAAGATATGAGATGTCAAACAAAATTCGGAATTGCGTGAAAAACGAGGTAAACGCATTTATCAGGACATTTAGGTACGATCAGAAAACACAGGAAAGGGGATATCGTTGACGAAAAACCGGCTCGTTGGTAAAAGCGCGAGGGAAGAGAGAAAAAGATCTCGTCGCGAAGCACAGAATGTGCAGAAAACATAGCGGATAATGATAAAACAGAGCGCGCGTGCGCGCGCGCACGCGAAAGCAAACGGGCCGGCCTCCGGAGAAAAGAGTAAAACACTCGTTAATACTGGGGGGGGGGGGGGGGGGGGAGAGAGAGGAGCGGAGAGGAACGCGCGCTTCGTACGGAGCGCGCCCGTGGAAGAGAGGATGCGATACAAGGACAAACGGCAAACGACGACGAGTCCCGAGAAAAAAAAAACGGCGACGATGAAAACGTTCGTGAGGAGAGATAGAGAGGGGCTCCGGATAGAGAGTAGTAGTGGGGATGACGTAAGAGCCAAGGGACAGAATGGAAAGGAGGGAGGGGAGCAGAGGGGAGGGGGCGAGGCAGGAGCAGTCAAGAATGAGACGAGAATGAGGAGGGGGTGATACCAAGGGAGAGCGCGGAGGGGGGGACGGGAAGGGCGAAGGAAGAGGGGTGGGGGCATCCATTCATGCTTTACTTCTGGCTTTTAAGAGTCCAGTCGAGCGAACGGCATACCTTCGCATAGGCCGATCTCGCCGGGACGTTCTGTTTCTCAGTCTTAGCGATCGCGCTCCGTTTCTCGAGAGGATCTCCGGATCTCGTAAGATTTGCAAAAAAAAAAAAAAAACAAAAAAAGGAATCCCGCACGGACGATCGAACACGGATCAGCGCGACAGATAGTTGAGAAATTTCGAGGAACGATCGGCGACGACTCGGTGAGAGTGCGCGAGTGCGATCAAACGCTCTATCGAACTCTCCTCTCTCTCTCCTATCAAGATCGGCCGATTAGGAACGGAGAACCGTTCTTTCGCGTTTCTGGAATCGCAAGGAGAAGAAGATAAGAGGAGATCACGGTAAACAGAGACACGTGACATCCTGCTTTCGTGATTGAAAGAAAAAATATTGTAAGATCTAAACGAGACTTCCCGCCACAAGGTTTGAATTGTGCGGGCTTTCAGCGGACCTAGCGCGTTATAGGAACTACTACGAATTCGGGAAGAAGTCGACACGTGTCAGTCGATCTCCCGGGACGAACACGATCGAGGTTCCTCGCGAAGCGATCGGAAAAACTCATCTTTCCGCTCCTCTCCGATGATCGATCAATGAGAAGACTCGTGTTTGTGAGATTCACGAAGATGGACTTCAAATAGCGATAGCGGTCGACCGGCGGAGCCTTCGAGTTCTCTTGATCCGTGTTGTATTTCTGCTATAAGTATTCCCCCGAGTATTCCTCCTCCCGCTCGCTCTGAACGCCTTGTCGCGCAAATAAGAAGGTGAACGTATCGAAACCCCCTACCCCATTCTTTTTATTGCACATCTCCCCACTTGAGAGTAAAACACCTAACGCAGCAAACGTTCCCTCCGGAGAGCGAGAGAAAGAGACAAACAGGCGATCGCCGATTCTCTCGACCGGGATTCTTTATCGGAAAGAACTTCGCTGCGCTTCTCCGACACCGCGACACGATGACCGGTAAAACAATATGGCACCTGCTGTACACCCTGTTGGTGATCGTCGGTGTCGTCCGCCGGAGCAAATGCGAGATTTTCGACGTGCCGTTGAGAGTCGAGCACGACGAGTATCTCAAGGAGTATTTGTTCATCGACGAGAGCAAGTACCACGCTGACCTGCAGGAATTCGACGACACGACGGTCGAAATAGATCTGATCAATCATAACCGGAAGCATATTCTGTCGCACGAGAAGCCTAGGGTGCTATATCAAGTCGGGGTAAGCCACTCCCCCACATCAGCTTCGTCAATTTATTGTCCATTTTCCATTCCTAAATTATATAACGCATGTATGTTACAATTATATATGTAGTGTTTGCTATTTTCTAATTCATTATATATATATATATATATATATATATATATATATATATTACGTAACTGTTACGTAGCCGTTGGTACAAATATGTTGAACGACTAGCTGACCGATACGCGTAACTTATCTATGCTTGTCGCTGCACAATTAGCCTTAATCCTGGTTTAAATTTAGGAAAAAAAATGAAACGTTATAGCTGTAAACCGAGATAAATTGAACTACATTATATTACAGAAACGAGTATTAATGTCGTGCGTTTAAGCACGTTCAGTAAAGGAAAGGCAATACTTTATATAAGTCATATGAAGCGTCAATGTCGCGCATCCTTTTACTTTTCTATTCTTCTATTTCCAATGGAGCGTACTATTCTCAAATCTTGTTCTCATATCGACTTTTCCTCCTTTAAGATTACGTTACTCGCTCTATTAAATCCCTCGAACGAATTAGCGCCTTACATTGCTCCAGAAAGCTGCTAAACGTTTAGCGACCTAATCCACTGACAAGTCCGCCTCATCGAGCCACGCAATTGAATCGTCGAGAATACGAATAGTGGGAAAGATGGATCTCGTGTGTTGTTTTTGTCTCCTGACCGGATCCTTCGTGATCTAAGACCGCTAATTTTCGTCACGGATTTTTCTCAACAGATGTTATCGTTTCGATTTTCAGCAGGTTTTGAAATAGATCGCGCGTGTTACGAAGCTTCGGTGTCAATGCACACCTATACATGCAAGTTCGTATACGCACTCTCGAGTAGCATTCCGAGGATTTGAAGCTAAATCGTCCGCTTACAGGCGCAGGAAGTAGAAGGAGAGGGAAACGTATAGCCGTTAGCAAAGAGCGGCGCCCACTCGATGCTCGAACCTGTTGCTGCTGTCTCGTTGCTGTAAACACCTACGTGTCGACGGTATACACGCGTGTGCGTCGCGTTCGTGCGTGCGTGCGTGCATACGTGTCCCCTGTGGGGCACAGTGCGTAGGTATACACGTGCGGACAGGCGCGACACCCAAGTACGACGTATCGTAGATACGTACGTTCGCACGTGGGCCGAGAGAGTACGTGCGCAAGAACAACACGGTGGGGATGTCGTCGAGAGGAGAGAAAACTGCTCCTTGCATATCGGATGAGAATCACTCGCGGCACCACAAAATCGCTCTTTGCGAAAACAAATCTTCCCCTTTTTTTCTCCCTTGCGGTTGTCAACAGGTAGATGTACGTTAGTCACAATCATGTGCCTACTACTTGTGCCCATCTAGCAATAAATATAGAAATGAAAAGAGGCAGAAAAATTACAATTGAAGACATATCCGAAGATGCCATTTTTAATATAATTAACAGGGTTGCCACAAATTTTTAATCGTAAAATTTCCTGACATTTCCCTGATTTACTGACAAAATTTTGAGATTTTCCCTGACTTTGAATAATACATATCTTGCAATGTTTCTTGTATTTTTACCGTAACACGGAAAATGATAAATATTCTGTTGATCCAGCAATGTAACATAGATGTACATTTTCTTCAGGAAACAAATCCCCCCCCTCCCAAAAAAGTAGTCGAAACCAATCATAGAAGCACAAGGCAATATAAATTTATGTACAGCTATTTTATTTTCCCTGACAAGTGTGCTGAATCCCTGACTATTTCTGACTTCCCTGACGCATTTTTTTAATTCCCTGATTTCCCTGACTTGTGGCAACCCTGATTAAAGAATAGAGTTTTTCGTAAAAAGAATTATGCCAAGAATTTCCTCCTAATATTTCTTTGAATATTTTACGATACGAAAACGTTTTTAAAGAAAAAAATTCGATACAAGAGAGTGGGAAATCTTGTTAATTTCATATTACCGATTTAAATAAATAATTAAATCCCCGAAGAGGGTAATCCTGTTTTCCGCATAGATCGCTCCATTCATGATCTACACGTGTGTGTCTATTATGATTATCTCTTCGGACAATTAGTAGATATGCATCAAGTAGCAATTAATTATCATGCCGAGATATACGGAGCACCATTATACTTTCGATCGCACGACAAGATTTCCAGAGACATCCGGTACGGCTATATGGAACGATGAGCGAGCGATCTTTCTTTTTACTAACGCCATCCATCCATCCATCCATCCATCCATCCAGATTCCCTGCGTCGTCGTGCGTCTTGCCTCTCTTTTCTCTCTTTCTCTTCTTTTTTTTTTTTTGGTTCCACATCTCGTTCCTCGTCTCGCGCGGCCCTTCTCCTCGTCGTCGCTGATGTCTAGTGGCTCCTCCTCCTCCTCCTTCTCCTTTGCCTTCGTGTAATATGTCCATCCCGAATGCCAGGTGTCATTTTCATTGCGGCCGTGCGAGAAGCGAGAGACGCGTGAGAACTTCCGGATGGTTTACGGCGCCCTTCCGGTCCTTCTATTATCCCATTTTAGTTTACCGCCGGTGTGTCCGTGCGCGTGTGTACGTGCGTGAATCCCGCTGCTCACTGCCGCTATATCAGCTTCAAAAACTTCCTTCGCCTTTCGTTCCGCTCCTACCTTTTCTTTCACTCGTAGAGAGCCGACGGAAGTGGGATAAAGAGATGCGTATAGGGAAGGCCGCGCGGGAAGGATAATGCGGACAAACACGATTAACAATCGGAAGCGATTAAAATTCGAACATAATGCCGTGAGAGGGATGAGCGTGGCTTAAAAACGTCCTCGGCGGATGTCAGTCTTCAGTGATCGCTAATTATTTATGCACGTATGGCCAAATAGACTTTTTACGTTTAATTGAACGGATGTAATATTAAATCGTAAATTTATCATGTGTATATTATACTATAGACATTTTTGGAAAACACAAGTTATGTAGGGTAAGGTGGTACAATTTTAAACGAAATAACATTTAAATCAAATTTTCGAAGTACAAGTTTGACAGTACCCTCTCATTGTATGGAGAGACACTGAAGGATAAACAGGAAAAAAATTGAGCTCGAACTTCGAAAATTCGATCCAAATCTTATTTCGCTCAGATTTGAACAATATTCGAAAAATCATTCAGATTTATAGCATTTTACTGTATATAGAAAGTTAATCTTGTCTTAAAAAATACTGCCTTTAGTTAGCTATGTTGCGGAAACTCCAAGCAACACCATAAGCAAATAAAAGATTATTCGGAAGCTGGTAGGCTAGATTTTTAGACATATAAACGCGAACGGATGTCTAAAGGAGCGAGTCGAAAAAGAGGATTTTCCTTATAAAAAGCTGTTCGTTCGATCCATTGTGCCGTGACGAATGATCGTAGTAAGTAGTATAGTAGTAATGGTAGTAGCAGTAGTAGTAGTAATAGTAGTAGTAGTAGAAACTACATCTGGGGGAGCGACAAAAAGACAAACGAGATGAACGGATGGTCATAGCAAAAAGTCGAATGCTCACAGTCGGCGGTAAAACGGCGGAAGACCATTTCCTCGAACGTTTCTTCGCTGAATGGCTACGTTGCTTCAACTACTTGGACTCACGCACTATCGAGGTGCACCTCCGATAAATACGTATCGCATTAACAGAGATCACGCACGTGGTCGCTCGCGGAGACCGTTTTTTAAATCATTTTTTTACTCCGTATAAATCCGTAACAAGATCAGAGAAATGGGAAGCAGATCGATCTTTGGTTCAGCAAACGACGAAATTTCATATTACAAATTCGCTAGTGACAAACGGAGTTTTATTAATTGCAAAAAAAAAACTGTAAAAGATGGAATATGAGATATTAAAGGAGAAAGATTATGAAGATATATTGTTGAAAATTCTGCACACAAATCTGACGATATACTCTCAACAGATATTTCGAGATTATGGTCGCCTTACGGTAGTTGGCGTCGTTCGATGACGATAAGCCGGACAGGACGTACGCGATTGCCTCAATGAATGGACTGGCAACATCTAAATAGTCCAGTTATAGCAGACTTTGTATCGCCGGCAGAAAGAGCGGATATACTTCAGTTACGAATCTTGTGCGCAATCGTCCCGTTTATTTCATTAAGCGCACCATGGTCCCATAGCGCAACACAACACGCTCAGACGTTTATTATTACGCAACGGTACAATCACCGCGCGATCATAATCGTCCTACTAATAATTCCGTTACCATACCCGAGAAATAAACAGAGATCTCCAGATGTTTATTTATTAATAACGTCGCGATTTCCTGCGCAATATCGGTCAGCTGCTCGATTCAATGCAATTTGACTCGGTGATGTATTTGCGCGCTCGTGTCACCAGGCGACACGCAGAAATAAACAAAGTGATAAAATCGCCATTCCGTAACGGAGAAGACAATTGAATTTCTGCGAAAGAGGTGAACACGAGCGTCAATCGCTTTATTAATGACGCGGGTGCTTGTTTGCGCAGAACAGCGAGAAGGAATTACCGGAGTGCGCGGACCGGAGCGAAGTATGTAGCAAGGTGGATTTATATGGTGCACCGTGGATCGAGAGACAATGTCGTTGCCCGAACGACCGTCCCTGCCCCAGCAGTCTTCACGGGGACGACGGACACACGATCGTCGATAAAACACGCCGCTACAAGCTCTGCGAGCCCGTGAAACGACTTCCCATCTGTCATTACTTCAAGTTAGTTGGATCACGACACGCATTCTCCGCGATTCCCGCTCGGATTCGACGATTCCACGTTGCGTTCTTGGATCTTACAATTAGCTTCGTTCACGTTAAACCCTCTATTACTGTATAACTGATAAAATTGTTCTACTCTCTAAATTCTTCGAAGTGGAATCTCGCTGTAAACATTGGAAACTAAGCCAGTCCTTCTTAAGATTCTTTTTCAATCCTTTAAAGGCGGTATTCATCATACAATTTAAAACCACTTTAAATGTAGTTTTAAGATGTCATGAATTAATCAGAGGACTATATATTAGTAAAAGATATTCAGCAATAGTAACTTAAGATACTCTTAAAATAAGGACTATGAATACCGAGTGAGATTTCACTTCTCAAAGTGGCAATTCACCGTAAAAGTTTTAGAGAGTACAATAATTTTCTATAAATTTTTCACTGCACAAATGTTTCTTCTCAAAATACATTGAACCGTGCGAAAAGAAAATCGCTGTCGAATCCAAGTCATTCGTTCGCGGAATAAATGATACTGAATTGTGAGTTTGTATTCAGATGTCCTAACTTTTCACCACAGGGACATTACGTGGACATTGGCACCCGGAGGAGGCCCAGCAAACGCGACAGTGCAACGCGTCTACTGTCGATGTCGGCCAAATAGCGTGCCATACCTAGTACGTAGACAACCTCACAAATCGCTGAATGGAAATCATGGCTTCGTCTACGCCTTCGCCTGTTCTCCGCAAAGCGTGAGTCAACGCTTACAAAATAGAGGAAAACACAGGATTCTATCTCGAAATGCAATTTTCGAAGAGCTTCACTAAAATTGACACATCTCTCAATACCCCTGGATTTTATCGCGCATTCAGACTGTACGGAGAAAAATGTAATTTGTGCTAGTAAACTTTATAGAATTGGTAGTACAGACCCTCTAAAATTTGTGAAAAAAAAAAATGTAAAATTTACTTTACTTTTGATAAATGAACAATAATCGTATACAGTTTGTATACTGTGAAGTATTTTTTACATATTGTAAAGTAAATTTTATGCTATTGCAATTTGTGACTCTATTTCTCTTACTCTATAAATTACTATACATCTCAATACAATTCATTTTATGAACAAATATGTTTTGCTTTAGCGTTGACGAAATTTATGAGCAGCAAAAAAATACAAGTGTACAAAATCTAGTCGTGCTTAAAGTCTTGAGAATAGTTATCATTAACTTCACAGTAAGTAATAATTTAAATGGATTTATTATAACTGTAATGTACTTTTTATCTTCGGTATTTTTTATTTTCAAGCAGTCTAGTGAAGATAGCAAGAATATTTATACTAAACTTGTATGATTATCCATTTTTCTCCGTAAAGGACAGAAGCGCTGAAAGCGCTGAGATCAAACGCAGTCTAAGTCTCGAAACACACAATAGATGTAGTAAGCCTTAAGCCGTAAAGAATTAATCACAGTCGAATGTGAGAAGAATACTCGGCTATGATTGGTAAATTTCTTAAGGCTTAAGGGTTACTATACACGTATTGTGTTTCGGGACTAAAGCCCGTGTCACCCTACGGGTTGTGGATGCGAATTGGATTGAGATTGCCGATCGCGCATCGAAATTCAGTCAATCAAGATAAAGTTGCTTTGTCTTCCGATCTGCGTCTACAATCCGTAGTGTGACACGGGCTTAAGGCTTCCATTCTTTCGTAGTGGAATTCTGAGAAAGAGTCTTAGCGCGCGATTAATTCGCTGCTTTCGTGTCTTGCAGAAAATACGATGCCAGCATAAGGAACCCTGCCGTCTGTTCACCGTACGCAAGAGACGCAACTCGCAACTCGAGGAGGTGAACGCCTCGCCTCTCTGTCAGTGTCCTCGTGGACACCGGTGCCCGCGGAGGCACACGGATCCCGGTTCGTCGCCGGCGCGATCCTACGCCGGTATCCTGGAGATCAAGACATACAGCGGCTACTGCGTACCGTATCACGGCTACGACAAAATGACCTACGGCATTTGAGAGAGGCCATTATGCGTTAGGAACGACCTCTCGCTGCGCAGCGACGGATCCAGGATGTCTGCCAAACCAAAATTCAACTTTCAATGGACTACTCATACTTTAATCATACGTTCTTGTAAAAAGAAAGACGATTGGTTCCCAAACCACGGTGGATCAGAGGTCCATCTTTTCAAGCGCGTGACAATCGGCCGTTTGGTTACCACCAGCCGTTTGTCGTATTAACGTTGCCGTTAAAATCGCAGAGTCGGCTTCCAATTCCCGATCGTGGTGACGAGCGTGTTCGGCTGATCTTCGGACGAAGATAGCTCGTCCGAACGTTCTAATTCCTTTTTAGTAATTCTTTTTCTTCTTTTCTTTCTGTATTCTTTTCGTCTCGAACAAAATGTGGTACTCGACGCTCTTGATCCGCTCCGTAGACAGGAAGTGTCGTGTAGGAATCGCGAACAACGGGAAATTAACATACGTGTCGATCGGTCGGCTGTACCAGCCATGTGATGCCGTGCCATGTACAATCCCCCAGCGGCGTTGGCGAATGTTAAGTGTAAAAAATAATGTACAGAAGAATATATAGAGATAAGAGAATCGTACCCGCCTACAGTTTTGTACAGTACGTTTCGAAACGATCGCCTCGTATTCCCGCAATGTAACACGAGCCTCAGTTATCGCCCATTGGTCGTAGCAATAACGGTGAGTCTTTTTTTTTTTTTTATTCTTGTTCTACAATAAGGTGGCGAGTCGTAAGCCGTCAAAAATTGGTCAATTTGTGAAAAGAATAACCGATTTTAATTAGTTAATCTCTCACGGCTTACAGCTTGCGATCCTGCTGTAAAACAGGCTTTATAGTGCTACCGTCTTTCATGCCGCTTCGTAGAATATTGCAGACGTTGCAGCTATATCATCACAGTTGTTTTAAATTTGTATATATTCGTGTCTGGTCTTCCAAAAGTGTCTCATTCGGAAAGTATTTTATGTATGGTAGCATCATAAGACTACACTGTTAAAAATATCTACATTAAATTTCATGTAAAGTAACGGAAGCAAATTTCAAGCATCAGGTACATACATTAAAATCGTTCAACGTTGTCAATGAACGTAAAATTACAAGTAACTTAGATTTAATAAACAATTCCAACAATAAAAATCTTCTAATTGACTCTCAAATTTCAAACGAATCCACAAGAAATCCTATATTTGGAGGCGAATGAGAGTGCCGCGTTGTTGTTGATACGCCAATCAATAAACTTGGATATATAAAATCCTTTATTCAAAATTACATGAATTTAATACGTTTCGACTCTTTTTTGAGTCATCTTCAGTTATATCATATACGCTCCAATTGAATATCGAAGTAAGTCACATCGAATTGATAGATCTGATGTTCTTAAGTCTAACGAGATTCAATATGAAGAAAAAAACGCAAACACAAGTAAAATCGCAAAACCATGGATCGCCAAGCATCTTACACTATTATAAACTTACATAATCACAATTATGTCAAAAAATTTTTATAATTTTCAAACAATAGATTTGAGTGTAATAATATCTATGTTATCGGTTTCATAACTAATTTTAAACCAAAATTAAAATTAGTTATGAAACCGATAACATAGATATTATTACACTCAAATCTATTGTTTGAAAATTATAAAAATTTTTTGACATAATTGTGATTATGTAAGTTTATAATAGTGTAAGATGCTTGGCGATCCATGGTTTTGCGATTTTACTTGTGTTTGCGTTTTTTTCTTCATATTGAATCTCGTTAGACTTAAGAACATCAGATCTATCAATTCGATGTGACTTACTTCGATATTCAATTGGAGCGTATATGATATAACTGAAGATGACTCAAAAAAGAGTCGAAACGTATTAAATTCATGTAATTTTGAATAAAGGATTTTATATATCCAAGTTTATTGATTGGCGTATCAACAACAACGCGGCACTCTCATTCGCCTCCAAATATAGGATTAGATTTAATAATTTCAATGTTAAAACTTGCTTGAAATTTGCTTCCGTTACATTTACATGAAATTTTATGTCTCTTTTAACAGTGATTTGGAAGACCCTCTCGATGTTATTTGTTACTAACTTTAACTTAATAAAATATATATATATATATATGTGTGTGTGTGTGTGTGTGTGTGTGTGTGTGTGTGTGTGTGTGTGTATGCGTGCGCGCGTGTAATAACAATGTTATTTTTATCCTTTGTAGTTTAATTTTCTGTGGAAAGAAAAATTTCTAATTAACGCAGAGATGTGATTATCGATTCAAACTGAGTTAAAGATATATACGCATTTTTGCAACGAGAGAATGTGATAAAGAATTTATCGATTTATCGATCTTTGAGATTATTGAAGATACAGGTAAGAGTCGAGCATAAGGATACACAAAACAACTACCGATCTATCGCAAGTCGATAAAGAAGATATCATTATATAGTAATATCAACAACAAATTAAACAATAATAGTTAAACGTAGAGATTTTAGCGAGATATATTTCTTAGTGATAATTTAATTTAAAATACCAATTGTTACATAATTTTATCTATCGAAATTTACTCTGATTTACTATTTGAATCAATTTGATCATTACGTAAAAATACAATAAACGGTACACGATATTGTCTTAATCTTACAATTCAAAAATATAAAATTCTTTACCGCCATACATCACAAATGACAATAAAACTAAAACATCGGCATCTTAAATATCATTTCAGTCGTATTTCTTTCTCATCGAAAACATACAGTGCTCCGCAAGCGGAACAAAAAGTCTTTTTTGGAGCGTAAAAAAAAAATTCGCGACGTCGTCATGAAAATGCACATATTACCGGCTCTCAATATTATTTTCTACTCGTACCATCTTTTCCCTCTTCGGGAAAAGTAACTTTCTAATTTTACGTTGGAAAGACGTGTACCAAATTCAAGACTGAATCTCACGTACACGTGACTTCTGTTCGCGAGGGGACCACAAAAGGACCGCTGCTCTCCGGCCGAGTTATTTCCTCGGATAAAACTCAGGACGGCACAGACAGTACGCGAGCGGACGTCGGAAGCCATGAGTTATCTGTGAGAACGTCACGGTCCATCACTCGCGACTCGCGGATGCTCCACTCCTGCATGTTACCATCATGGCACGGCACCGTTACCGCCGCGCTGTCTTAACTCGAGTTCTCTTGAGCGGCGCGCAATCGCGCCGAAGGTGTATTTGAACAGTCGAAATTGATTTGAGTCAAGTTAGGACCTTGCCACACAAAAGAAACTTGGGGCAGTAAAGCCCAAAACACATGAAATACATAACAGTGCATAAACATAACATAAGACCGCTGGACCAATGAGCATTTTATGTTAATCAATATGGTAACTTTATGCTGGATACTTATTGGTCCAACAGTTTTATGTTATGCTCATGCTCTATTATGCATTTCATGTGCGATAGGCTTTAGACTTAGCAGTAAGCGAATTGACCAATCATAGTAGAGGCCGTAAGGCCATAACTTAAACAGTAGCCAATTCACAATGTTGATTTCCTTACTGCTTACGTCTTACTGCCTTAAGTTTTTTGTGTGCCAAGGCCCTTAATCTCTGAACGTCTCTTCGGTATGATGCACTCGATTCTTTTTTTCCAATGCTCTTTCCATTGCTTATTACTTTTTTATTAACAAGAACACGCATATTTAGTAACATTACGCTTTTAGGTTAAATTTTTTATCTTCTAATTGTAGCTTGGATTTAATTTCAGTAACTTTTAAAGTTAGATTATAAAACCAGTTTAGATTACAAAATATTAGTTTAGTGATTAATCATAGCTACAAAAGCATATTTCTTACCATGGTATTATGGTTAAATCTAACCACAAGTTAATAAAAACAGAATGAAAGGCCTTAATGTCTGGCGTTTCGATGAAAAAAAACTTACGATATCTTTATGAAAGTTATAAGTAATTAAATTAGGTTATGCCATGTGTTGTTCCCGTGAGACGTTTAAGGATTAAGTTTTCCATTATTTTTCAAAAGACTGTTTATTTACATAAATAAATAATATATCAACCAAAAGTGAATATTGTAGATAAAAAATGAGCGAATAAACTGCGATATTAATTATAGCTGTATTTATTACAACATAAACTATGAATAAATCAAAATAGATTAAAATAAATAAATATAAATTAAATAAGTAATTGAAATTAAAATGAAAAGATCAAGACTCTATTAACATAATCGTCTGTTTCTATAACACACATTAGTGACTAGAAATTTGCTTTTCCATGAAAATAAAGAGTTTTTGTCGGATAATTAATTAAATTCCCATACATAACGAATTATTCGATAGCTGTTCAATTATTCATTATCGTTCGCAATAACAATAATTGCTGTAAAAGCTGCACCATCCAATGCATGGAGAGGTTAGAAAGCGAATTCACTCATGAATATGAAGGGTTCTTCTTTGGTGAAAATTTATTCGAGCATCGCGTGTTTTCATAGTGTTTCCATAACGCTCTCCGTCTTACGAACGCTGCTGGATATTTGTGTTAGTCACGAACTTGTTCGCAAAAATCATCGTGCAAATTCTCAGGCCATGCCCGAGGAACAACCGATGATTCTACATTTCTCGCGGATCACCGTGCATCTTTTCCGACACACTTCTCCGAGACTTTTTTACCACGCGTTATTTGTTCCTTTCTTTCCGAAGACGCGAACCGCATTCGCCTCGTTTCGAGCGCAAAAACCCACTGGCATAAAGAGCGGGTCAGTTTTTCCGATTCTTAATGGTCAGCTGGAGGCTGTGTTCCCGATGAAGTCGTCGATATCGACGCTGAATCGTTCCTTCACCGCCGTTTCGCGGCGAAGAAAAACACGCGAACTATGGCCGAGCGCGGTTGTTGCGCACCGCAGACAATGATTAGCGTCCACGTCAAATCTTGCGCCTAACAGATAGCCGCGCAGACTTTCACCGAGATGAATCGCGCGCGGTCGGGAAGAATACGCGTTCGATCTTTGGAGAAAGGCCGCGCTCTGTCCCAAACGTGTTACTCGACATCGTGCCAACGATGGAAAAACCGTGTCCACGATGGAAAAATCGTGATAAAGTGAGAGCCTATAGACGACGGAGTAATAATGGAGAGGTATGCTCTCTCTCGTACAGTTTGCAAAAATCATTATCGATGTGTTGGATTTATAAAGAGGAAGCACACAGTTCGACGTATCTACATAGATTGCTCCTCTCTATAGATTTGAACTTTCTAAAATAATTCGCTATTTATGTTTATCTACTAATTAAGTCAAGTAAGCCCGTTGTAACACTTGCTTCTACGTTTTCTTGGAAGATTTACTAAAAAAAAAAAATATAAGAAGAGGAAAAAGATAAATCTCTGTCTGCGTACTATTTTCTACTATTTCATTACCGACATAATTGTTAGTCTTCATCCACAAATATATATAAATCAATTTAACAGACTATAAGTCTTATACGGAAATGAGCAGAAAATGAGTAGAAGATGAGCAGAAAGTTTATAGCTTTAGGCAGCGCGCATGGAAATTTCTCTCTATTCGAAAGGTGAAGATACGTGGGAGTTCAGTCGAGGTCTATTAGATCTCCGAGTAATATTCTTAAGATCAAAGCGGCGAACGGCCGATGGCTACTTGAAACAGCAGTTCCTATATCTTATACAAATATCTCTCGTGATTTCCAATTATACAAAAGAAGGAAAGAAATAGAGAGAGAGAGAGAGAGAGAGAGAGAGAGAGAGAGAGATAGAGA